TGACTGTAGGGGCGCCTGGGTGGCTCAGTTGTTAAGCGTCTGCCTTTGGCTCAGGTCATGATCTCAGGGTCCTGGGATCGAGCCCCGCATCGGGCTCCCCGCTCAGCGGGAAGCCTGCTTCTCCCTCTCCCACTCCCCCTGCTGTGTTCCCTCTCCCGCTGTGTCTCTCTCTGTCAAATAAATAAATAAAATCTTTAAAAAAAAAAAAGTCTTGACTATAAAGTTTTATTTTTCTCAAATAACAAAAAAGCAGGCAGTTGCTGGCAAGGGCCTGGCAGCTCAACAATGTCCCTGCATTTGCTTTGGCTTTTCCTCATGGTCACAAGGTGGCCACTGTTGCTCCTGCCATCACATTCATGTTCAAGGAAGGAAGGAGAGGCAAGACACAGCACCAGCACTGTTGGCTTCTTTTGTCAGGAGAAGAAAACCCTTCCCAGAACCCCAGCCAACTTCAGCTACAAGAGAGGCTGACAAAACAAGTATCTAACTGGAGCTGGAAGAACAAAATTGCAGTTTCATTAACAAGAAAGAAAGGCAGTGGTGCTGGGGGAAGGAGGATTAAGGGAGTAGGGTAAGGAGGGTGGGTATTGGCTAGGCAACTAGCGCAGGGCTTCATGAAGGAGGTGGCATTTGAGCTGTGCCTTCAAGGTCAGATACAATTTTGACGATAAGAAAGAATGGCCTAGGGGTGTCTGGGTGGCTCAGTTGTTAAGCGTCTGCCTTCGGCTCGGGTCCTGATCCCAGGGTCCTGGGATTGAGCCCTGCATCAGGCTCCCTGCTCAGCAGGAAGCTTGCTTCTCCCTCTCCCACTCCCCCTGCTTGTGTTCCCTCTCTCGCTGTGTCTCTCTCTATCAAATAAATAAATAAAATCTTTAAAAAAAAAAGAAAGAATGGCCTAGGTCTGGAGGCCTGAAATCATCTCCTCTGGCATTTATTCCACACCTGCTCTATACCAAACATTGTTCTAAGTGCTTTACACGTTTTAATACATGCCATTTTAACAACACTATGAGATAAGCACTATTACTGTCCCCATATTACAGATGAGGAAACTGAGACAGCAAGAGGTTAAGTAATTTGCTCAAGATCCCACAACCAGGAGTGTTAGATAGGATCCAAGCCCAGTTGGTCCACCTCTGAGGCACAAGGAAGGCTATTACCTTGCCAAGGTCTTGGTAGATTAAGAGTAGATTCTGTACCAAAAGCAAACGAACAAACATACAAAAAACCCAAACTCATAGATGCAGAGAATGGATTGGCAGTTGCCAGAGGTGGGGGTTGGGGATGGCCAAAATGGGCAGTCAAAAGGTACAAACTTCCAGTAATAAAAGAAATAAGTCATGGGGATGTAATGTACAACGTGGTGACTATAGTTACTAATATGGTATTGCAGGGGGTGCCTGGGTGGCTCAGTCAGTTAAATGTCCAACTCTTGGTTTTGGCTGGGGTCATGATCTCAGGGTTGTGGGATTGAGCCCTGTGCAGGGCTCTGGGCTCAGCGTGGAGTCTGCTGGAGATTCTCTCTCTCTCCCTTTGCCTCTGCCCCTCCCCCTGCTCACGCATGTGCACATGCATGCACTCTCTCTAAAATAAATGAATAAGTATTTTTATTTACTTATTTTAGAGAGAGAGAGAGAGCATGAGTAGGGGGAAGGGGCAGAGAGAGAAGCAGGCTACCCGCTGAGCAGGGAGCTTGATGTGGGACTCAATCCCAGGACCCTGGGATCATGACTTGAGCCGAAGGCAGACGCTTAACTGACTGAGCCACCATTGCCCAATAAATAAATCTTTAAAAATAATCATTATAGGGTATTCCATATTTGAAAAGTTGCTGAGAGAATAGATCTTAAAAGTTCTCATGATAAGAAAAAGAATTTGTAACTATGTATGGGAATAGGTGGGAACTAGACTTATTGTGGTGATCATTTCACAATGTAGAGAAATATTGAATCCTTATGTTGCACACCTGAAACAAATATAATATTATATGCCAATTATATTGCAATAAAAAATTTTAATACAATTAAATTTTTTAAAAAGTAGATTCTCTAGACCAGTGGTTCTCAAGTGGGGGTGATTTTCGCCCCCAGGGGACATTTTGGTAATGTCTGGAGACATTTTTGATCGTCACAACTGGCTGGGGGATGCCACTGTCATCGAGTGGGAGGCTTGACATCTCACAATGCATACAATGGCAAAGAATCATTGGTCCCAAATGCCAGGAGTGTTGCGGTTGAGAACCCTAATCTAAACTAATCAGAGTAGTGAAGCTATTCCTTCTCCCAGTTGAGGACTTAGACTCAGAGCTGAGAGAAGAAATAGGGGAGACTTTTAAATGAACTGTGCAACTCAGTTATGTTGCTGTAACAAATAGACCAGATCACGGTGCTCAAATAAGAGAGAAGCTTATTTCCTGAGCACGTAGCTGATCAGAAGCAGATTCAGGTGGTTAGGCAGCTCTGTGCATGAGGCCTGGCAAGACTTAGATTTCCTTTTGACTTCTTGCTCAGGAATTCCCTGGGGTATTAGCTTGTTTTGCATGATTGAGGTGGTTCACCACCCCCACCCTACCCCCGTCCAGTCTGGGAGTCTGCCGCTCCAGCAAACACAAAAGGAGGAAAGAGGAAGTGGAAAGGCAAGCAGAAGTTGTTATGTCCAGAGCTGACACCCGGCTGTATCGCCTGTGAAAGCAGATGGTTAAAGCTTTAGGAATTTTGGGAGCCAAAGATTGTTAAACCCAACCATTATTAAATTAGAGAAATGTACAATTAAATAAATTCTATTAAAAACAAAGTTAATATGTACTCAAAAGGTATCACTTCCTGATTTATTTTGCTACCTTCTGCTATTACCTAGGTACTTGAGATTTTCATACCTGGTTTATCTGTATGGTAGAAATAGCGCATGGTGTGTTCTATGGCCCAGCACTTCCCAACTTCTCACTCCACGACCTCACGCTGGTAGTTGGAAATCAGCCACAGTGGGAGTGTTTACACCGTAGAAATCGGTAAACTGCAAATCAGAGCTCGATGGTTTGTTCTGTGGATTGTCTGCGTTTTAGAAAGTGATCAAGGGACGCCTGGGTGGCTCAGTCGGTTAAGCGTCTGCCTTCGGCTCAGGTCATGATCCCCGGGTCCTGGGATCGAGTGCCACATCGGACTCCCTGCTCCGCGGGGAGCCTGCTTCTCCCTCTGCCTCTGCCTCTCTCTCTCTCTGTTTCTCATGAATAAATAAATAAAATCTTAAAAAGAAAGAAAGAAAGAAAGTGATCAAGAAAACACTAATAGGGAGCCTGGGTGGCTCAGTCGGTTAAGCGTCTGCCTTCGGCTCAGGTCATGATCCTGGAGTCCCGGGATCGAGTCCCGCATCGGGCTCCCTGCTCAGCAGGGAGCCTGCTTCTCCCTCTAACCCTACCCCCCTCTCATGTACTCTCTCTCTCTCTTATTCTCACTCTCTCAAAATAAATAAATCTTAAAAAAAAGAAAACACTAATAATGCAGATTGAACCTAAAAATTGCATTGCACCTGCAGCCATTACATTGTGAGTAGCAGAAAAAGTTGAGAAAATACTCTTCCAGAATTTGAAAACTGATTCGATTCAGCATTGCTCATCTCACTGGCAAACTATGACAAGAAATGCCTTAGTTGATTCACTTTTTTCTTATCCGTTAAGGTGAAAGAAAACAGCAGCTAACATTCACACTGGGAATACTCTGGTTTATCAATGATGTCAGCAACTTTTTTGCTGAATCTGGTAGTAATAAAAAATGTATAGTAGTCTGATTTTGTGCCCCTGTTATTGGTAATGGACTTAGAAACACTGATAATGGGTTTTGGGGTGTATTAAACAGAATGTGGGTTCTGGAGTGTCTCCGTAAAATAGGGATAATGAAATGTACCTTGCAGGGTTATTTTAAGAGTCAAATGAGACAATGTTTGGGGAAGTTTTGTTGTCTAGAAACTACAATTCAACTGTGAGGAGCCATGAATCCCAATTCCTACCTGACTGGTTTGTGAGCAGGCTCAGATAAGCCCTTAGTAAAACCCATGAAGGTCTACACTGAGACAAGATATGGGCATATTACATTTATAAGTACTTACGGAAAAATCATTGGCGATTTTTAAAAACTTTTTTAGATTTTATTTATTTATTTGTTTGTTTGTTTGAGAGATTGAGAGAGTGAGCATGTTCAAAGGGGAAGGGCAGAGGGAGGGGGAGAGAGAATCTCAAGGAGACCCCACACTGAGTTCGGACCCAAGGCAGGGCTCAATCCCATGACCCTGAGACCCCAACCCAAGCCAAAATCAAGAGCCAGACACTCAACAGACTGAGCCACCCAGGCGTCCCTACTGGCAATTTTATTATAACAAAAACAATATTGTTAAAAATTTAGAAAATGTAAAGTAAAAATCAGAAGCTAAAAAATACCCATAATACCACCACCCAGAGATAACCACTATTTATATTTTGATACAGCTCCAATAACTATTAACTCAGGATCATGTGTGTTTATTTGGACCCCCACCTGTGCCCTGAGACTCCTCAACAAGATCATGTTGAAGAAAGTCCCAGACATCATTTAATTTCATCATAAAAACTTCAGTATCCTTACATTTAAGGACACTTCAAATCAATATAACCTCAATATAAATATCACACCTAAAAAAATACTCTGGTGGAGGATGTTTATAATGAGGGGAGGCCATATGTGTTTGGGGCTAGGGGGCATGTTGGTTATCTCTGTTTGTACCTTCCACTCAATTGTGCTGTGAACCTCAAACTGCTCTAAAAACTAAAAATAAGTTATTAATATTATCAAAAGATGATCCACTATTCAAATTTCCCTGTGTATTCCTTTTTTTTTTTTTGTAAGTTGTGCTCTTGTACTTTTAAATATTGGGTGTTTGTCTTTTTCTTCTTTGTTTGCCAAGGTCTTTATATGTTAAGGGGATTAACTAAGGTGGTACTAATTACTTACTTCTTATTGTTATTCCTCCAGGGAAAACCATGGAGACATCAGGACCCTCCTCCCAGACTCCAGATCACAGTCGAGTCCATGGAGAAACAGAAGATCTAGACTGTATGTTTGCCTTCTCTCACCCTCTGGGCAAAGCCACATGGGAGGTAGAATCCAGCAATGGGTGGAACAGAAGAAGACCTTGCTCCCCTCATGTGGCACAATGGCTCAAGTCACAGTTGAATCCTCTAGAGAAATAATGTTTTACACACACACACACACACACACACACACACGCTTGGTCCAGTCTGTCCCCTAGAACTTTCTAGCTTTGGGGACCTTCAGTAGCTCCCCACATCCCAAGGGGGATCTGGAGGCTTGGGCTGGCACTGGGGAGGGTCCTCAGAAGGCGGGAAGGTTCCTGTGCTACTCCACAATTGGGGATGAGAAGGTTCACTTGACCAGATCATCCCTGCCATGTAATTTAGAGTGAATCTTAAGTTGGCCACTATTGTACACAGTCTGGTGGACTCTGGGCAGGATGGGGGGCTTAGAAGCCCATCTCTGGTTTCCACATTCAGAGAAATTTATGCCTTGGGCCTTCCTTGAGCCCCTGGGGCCTCTGAGAGCTTGGATCTCCTGCACCTTCCATTGGCCCTACTTTTTTGGGGAAAGTGTCCCAGAGAATCCAGTCATTCCTGGCCCCCAAGGCCAAGTAGATGCCTGGGGAGGTCTTGTTGGTCTCTGGGGTGGGAAGGGGCAAGAAGCACTCAAGAAACTTTTCTGTGTGTGCCTCCCAGATGAAGAGACGGATTTCCACAAGTCAGACAGGGAGGCTGGACTCCTTTCTCATGAACAACCCAAGAGAGACGAGTCTTCTACCTCCTTCTCCTCTTCCTCCCTGTCATCCTGCTCTTCCTCAGGTACAGAATATTAATACATATGTATATATTCACAATATTATCCAAGAAAAGCATTTACATGGAAAAGCAACGCCCCATAATCTCCCACCTTGATACTTTAATTCTATTTTTCCGTATCCCCTTCCAGACTGCATCTATCAGTACACATAACTTGTATATAGTTATAACTACCAGACAGACAATTTTGTCCTCTGTTTAAAATGTTTTGCTACCGTATCCTGGGCATTCTGACAGGTTATTCCGTAATATCTTGGCAGCTAATTTTCATGCTTACCAAAAGGTCCCTCAAGCGGCTGCATCTCCTGTAAAGTAACATTGAGGTTTATCAGGAGCAGTCTGGTGTTGAACCCAATGCATCTGTCTCCTCAAGCAGCCTGCCTAAGTCCAAATCCTTCTTTTGACACTCACAAGCTATGTGTCCTTGGGTAAATTGCTAAACCCTATATGCCTTGGGGTCCTCATCTGGAGGTTGGGGATGGTAACAGAAGTTACTACCTCATGGGATTATTGTGAGGATTACCTTCTTTACACTTGTCAAGTCTTAGCACCCATCACGTAGTAAAAGCTCTAAAAAACAACTGTGAAGATTATCCCCCAACAGTGCACCCCAATGTTTATAGCAGCAATGTCCACAATAGCCAAACTATGGAAAGAGCCCAGACATCCATCGACAGATGAATGGATAAAGAAGATGTGGTATATGTATACATTGGAATATTATGCAGCGATCAAAGAGATGAAATCTTGCCATTTGCAATGACATGGATGGAACTAGAAGGTATTATGCTAAGCGAAATAAGTCAGTCAGAGAAAGACAATTATCATATGATCTCACTGATATGAGGCATTTGAGAAACAAGACAGAGGATCATAGGGGAAGAGAGGGAAAAATGAAACAAGACAAAACCAGAGAGGGAGACAAACCATAAGGGACTCTTAATCTCAGGAAACAAACTGAGGGTTGCTGGAGTGGTGGGGGGTGGGAGGGATGGGGTGGCTGGTGATGGACATTGGGGAGGGTATGTGCTATGGTGAGCGCCGTGAATTGTGTAAGACTGATGAATCACAGATCTGTACCCCTGAAACAAATAATATATTATATGTTAATAAAAAAAAAAAAGAAAAAAAGATGATCCTCCAACCTTCCACCAGTTTACCATGCTCGTAAGCAACCTTGCTCAAAGGTTTTTACTTTTTGAATTTTTGGCATAAACTGTGTTCTCGGGATCAATTCTCCACAAGTCCTTCAGTGGGTTAACAGGAAATGAATATCTCCCATTGGGCCTTGATTACAAATCGCCATATTATTCTCCAATAGAAAGCAGAATGTCCTTTCATTTTTATTCTCTTAATTCAAAATGTTAGGCTGAATGGATAGCACCAGCAGTGTCATGCCTGGCATTTATTGAGCACTTACTATGGGCTATGTACTGTTCCAAGCACTTTACATGTAATAATTAAGTTCATTCTCATAGAGACCCATTGAGGAAGGTGCTATTATTATTCCCATTTTACAGGTGAAGAAACTGAGGCACGGGGAGGCTGACCTGCTGTCAGAGGGCTCAGTAACCAGCTTGGGATCCCTGGAGGTCTTTCCGGGACTGGGGAGCCTAAGGGGTGGGCTCTGGTCTACTCTTTCACCAGAATGCCTGCACTAAGATCTGCTTTACGGAGTGGGCTTGGGCCTGAGGTTTTATTTGGGGGAAGAATTCTCAGGCTAAATCCTAAAAAATGCTTACAAAGCCCTGGCCTCACATCCTCACATTGCAAATGATGAGACTGAAACTCAATACTATAAAATCTATGCTTATTTCTCCAGACAGAGGAGAGTGAGTGATTGGTGGGTCCAGTGGGTTTATTTGTAGTCCTCATGAGACTGGAGAGGAAGCCACTGCCCTTATTATTTTTTTCTTTTAAAGATTTTATTTATTTCTTTGAGAGAGAGAGGGAGAGACAGAGAGCTCAAGCACGGGGAGGGGTAGAGGAAGAGACAGAAGCAGACCCCCCCTGCTGATCAGGGAACCTAATATGGGGCTTGATCCCAGGACTCTAGGATCATGACTCAAGCCAAAGGCAGACGCTTAACCGACGGAGCCACCCGGGTACCCTGCCACTGCCCTTATTAAAAAGTACAATTGACCCTTGAACAACATGGGGTCTAGGGACCCTGACTCCCCATGCAGTTGAAAATCTGCATATAACTTTTGACTCCCCCCAACTACTAAAGCCTTCTGTTGACTGGAAGCCTTACCGAAAACATAAACAGTGATTGCTACATATTCTGTATCTTGCATGTATGATATATTGTATTCTTACAATAAAGTATGCTAGAAAATAAAAAGTTATTAAGAAAAGGAAGAGAACATACATTTATAGCACAGTGAGGTGACAAATCTGCGTGTAAGTGGACCCGTGCAGTTCAAACCCGTATTGTTCAAGAGTGGACCATATATAAACCCATCCCCTGTTAGGGTTAGCCCTGAAAGAAGAGCTTCCAGGTGCAAGGGGGCTTTTGCCTGTCCTTTTGTTTCTCCTCCCTGGGTGGGAGGTGACATTCTGTCTTCCGATTGTGGTTGACCCTCAGGGGCGCTGCTCCCCTACAAATGTTCTCCCCCAAGTGTGGCTATGAGCCCCTTCCCTCAGGTCTCCACAGCACACATAGGGACTACCTGTAGTTAGCAAAACAGAACACCAGGAAAAAACAGCAAGAAAATCAACAGAAGCACAGAGACATACTGATATCAGGATTCAAATCTCTGATCCACAATGGGTTGGCCTGCTGCTAGAACTCAGACCCTGCCCATTCTTTGGGCTTAGATGGCTCCCAAGGCCCCAAGCCTGGTTGGGTAGCTCACTGCAGCCCCAGCCCTCCTCCACACTCAGGACCCGAACTCATACTCTAGCATCCAGTACTGCTCTCCCTACATTTCTTTTTGTTTTCACTGTATCCTGTTATTTTTTAATTAAAACTTTTTATTGTGAGAGGTGCCTGGGTGGCTCAGTCAGTTGGGCGGCCAACTCTTGATTTTGGCTCAGGTCATGATCTCAGGGTCATGAGATCAAGCCCCATGTCAGGCTCTACTCTGAGCACAGAGCCTGCTTAAGATTCTCCCTCTCCCTCTCCCTCTGTCCCTCCCCCTGCTCATGTGCACTCTCTCTCTCTCTCTCTCAGCAAAACAAAACAAAACAAAACAAACTTTTTATTGTGAAAGATTACACATAGGAACACTGTAGAAAATGTGGAGTATATAAGGAAGTTAAAAGAATAAGAAAATCATCCTTTGCTCTGTCACCCAGATATAACCACTAAACTCATATTAGTGTGTTTCCTTACATTGACTCAATAAATATTTATTGAGCACCAGCTATGTGCCAGGCTCTGGGATGGATACTGGGGGCACCAACAACAAAGTGTGACTCCTTCTGCCAGGGTTAATTTTTTAAGTGACTGAATTAGAGTGTACATACAAAAGTTGTCCTCGTTTTAGACAACATATAATTCTATAATGCCTTTTATAAAAAATACTCTTGATCTCAGCTCAGGTCTTGATTTCAGGGTCGTGAGTTCAAGTCCCACATTGAGCTCCATGCTGGGCATGGAGCCTACTTAAAAAAAGTTATATAAGGGGCGCCTGGGTGGCTCAGTCCTTAAGCGTCTGCCTTCCGCTCGGGTCATGATTCCGGGGTCCTGGGATCAAGCCTCATGTCAGGTTCCCTGCTCAGCGGGAAGCCTGCTTCTCCCTCTCCCACTCCCCCTGCTTATGTTCCCTCTCTTGCTGTGTCTCTCTCTGTCAAAATAAATAAAATCTTTAAAAAAGTTATATATTATGAATAAACCATAGAGAAAGCTAAAATATAATGTTCATTTGTATGTTGATGGAGGCAGATAGAATTTGGAGTAATTTTTGCTTTCATTTTCTGTATTGTTTGAGATTTTGCAAAATGCAATGAAAAAGCCTTTTATTTTAAAGATTTTTATTTATATTTGAGCGAGCACGAGAGAGAGAGAGAGAGAGAGAGAGAGAGAGAGCCCACAAGCAGGGGGAGTGGCAGGCAGAGGGTGAAGCAGGCTCCCCACTGAGCAAGGATTCCTGATCCGGAACTTGATCCCAGGACTCTGGGATCATGACCTGAGCCGAAGGCAGACACTGAGCTACCAGGCACCCGAAAAAGCCTTTTTTTTTTTTTTAACACTGATTAATATTTATAAAATACAGAAAAGAAGAAAATAGAAGCCAACCAAAATCCTATCTTCTGAGATAAATACTGCTGTTGTAATCTTGACGTACTTCTTGATACCTTTTTCTCTGTATCTAGCTGAGATCACGTGCACTGATTTTAAAGCAGTTAACTGGCTTCCTGGAAATTTGAAATTTATCCACGATTGAGTAGGAGTTTCCCAAGCACACTGAGGGACATTAGCCCTGGTGGGAGCCATCTTGGTCATCCTAAGGAAAAGGGAGTCCTCTGGACCTGAAACCCGGAACTTCCTGCAATGCTGACTGTCCAAGAGTGCAAATAAATCTGTCATTCTTCAAGTCTTGATCAAGCTCCTCCTTCAGGCACCTTTAGATGAGTGAGGACCCGGGCCTTGTCCTTCAGGAGCTCAAATGGTTGGAGACATGAACACCACCACCACTGGCCCTCATGCCCACCATGTCAAGTACAGACAGTTGATACTATAGTAACCCCAGACGAGGGAGGGTCAAGATGAGCGTGAGCTGGGGCAGTTGGAAAAGCCTTCCTACCCCTTAATCTTCAAGATAAAGGAGACAAATGGGAAGGGCCTTCCAGGTGGGAACAGAGTCAGCATGATATGGGGACACAGAGATGACACAGCCGTGTGCTTGTAATATGATACCTCGGATGACCTTGTCTTATCTTCATGAAAGCAGCAGTGGAAATATTAAATGATTTGTTCAAGATCACACAGAAAGTTTATGGCAGATCTCCTACCCCTCCCATCCCCCAAAGACCTCTCTTTCCTCCAGACCTTCTCATATAGGCTAAATTCTGAGAACACCAGAACCAATGTATTTCAGGCTCGTTCCAGACTGAGGTTCTCCTACAGCTTGTGTTTGTTCTCTGCAGAGAGCAGTGATGAGGACCAGCACCCAGGAGTAACTGGACAACGTCAGCAAAGCCAGGGGGCGGGACAACCCCCCGGGACAGCTCACCTGGTAGGCAGTAGGCCTTGCCCTTTCTCCTTTGCCCTCCCCCCACAGCTCACCGTTGAGTCTCAGCAGGACCGAGCGTGCCTGCGTGAGGATGTTCCTCATGGCATTGTTTATAGTAGGGTGCCGGTAGCAAGCAGCCAAATGTCCGACACCAGCAAAGTACAGCCTGTCCTGCCTACAGCTCTATTCTTCACATATCTCTGAAGTGAAAAAGAAATATGTCAAATCATATGATTCGTTTGACCTCATACATACTCTAAAAATTCACACGTATGTGGTGATGAGTATGATGGGAAGGAAAAATAGCAAAATGTTAGTAGTGGTTATCTCTGGATGGTTAAATGATGGGTGATTTTTGTTTTCACTCTTTTGACCTGGTCCTATACTATAAATATTATACAGTGAGCATGTTCTATTTTGACAACCAGGAAAAGAATTTTGGAAAAATAAAAATTTTAAATAAACTGTGGCCTAAATGGATTGTGGCAAGAAAAGAGCATGGGGGAGGGGCGCCTGGGTGGCTCAGTCGTTAAGCGTCTGCCTTTGGCTCAGGTCATGATCCCAGGGTCCTGGGATCGAGCCCCACGTCGCGCGTCGGGCTCCCTGCTCGGCAGGAAGCCTGCTTCTCCCTCTCCCACTCCCCCTGCTTGTGTTCCCTCTCTCGCTGTGTCTCTCTCTGTCAAATAAATAAAATATTTAAAAAAAAAAAAAAGAGCATGGGGGAAAGAGCCTGGATTAATCCCTAGAACAGAACCTGGCACACATGAGATGCTGAATAAATGCTGCCCTTGAAGCTGGAGTTGAGTTCTGGGTTCTGTTTCTGAAGATAAAAGTGATGAGGGGGCGCCTGGGTGGTGCAGTTGGTTAAGCATCCAATTCTTGGTCTCAGCTCATGTCATGATCTCATGGGTGGTGAGATGGAGCCCCACTGCTGGCTCCACGCTCAGTGGGGAGTCTGCTTTAAGATTCTCCCCCTCTGCCCCTCCCCCCACTGTGCATGTGCTCGTGCACGTTCTCGCTCTCTCTCAAATAAATAAATCTTTTTAAAAAAGGGATTAGGATTGCAGGCTTGGGTGTCAGATCTGGGTTTGAACCCTGGAATTTCCACTTACTGGCTGTGTGACCTTCAGGGAATAATTTAACTTTGTGAACCTCAGTTTCCTTACCCATAAAATGGGGGAGGGAGAGGTACGAATACCTTCTTCATAGGATTTCTGTAAGGATCTAGTGAAATATTAAATATAAATTACTTAGTTCCATATTGATACCTAGTAAGTGCACAATAAATGGCAACTCTTTTAATGACTTTGAAGGAGGCCCAGGTCCACTTAGACCCTCAATTCTTTTTCAGGAAACTGACCACAGTCACCTCTGAGTGTGTGTGGGGAGTTAGAAAGGGTAAAGGGAAAGTACTTGTAAGGCTGCCTTGCCTCTTGAGGACTGCCTGGCTCACCCCCAGCACAAACAAGGACCATGTTACTTTTTAAGGCTTCAGATGTGCAGGAGATGGAAGCTGCCCTGGGGTGCTGTGATGGGGAGAGCTGACTAAAGGGGGTTGTCTCCACTCAGGTGCTGAGCATGAGGAGCCTGACCTTTTGAAGGATGAGCTTCAGCTCTATGGAGGTAAGTCACTGTCCAGTGGCTTTGGTGAAAATGGAATTACACAAAGGACATGAGGGCTTTGGGCTTTGTTGGACAGAAACAAGTTCATGAGGGTGTTTCATGGCCGAAAAGTGCTAGGAAAATATAGGAGATATGGCAAGAAAAATGGTCAGAACATTGGCAAATGGGGATGAAAGCAAGCATTTTCTGCTTTGGTGAGCCTGTCCCGGAATCTCTTCTGAACTATAACCTTGACTTGCAGGGCGACTTAGTTCAGTCACCCGATCTTTCTGGGCCTGAGCTTCCCAGCCAGCAAAATGGAACATGATTAGCACCCACTGTCTTGGAATAGTGGGGTGCACAGGAAAATTAAGGATCTCATCTCAAAAAAACTCATGTTATGGAATAATTATCTCCAGGCTTCGTGATTATTACAGCAAGGAGATATAAACATTATGGCACTTTGCTTGGAAGCACTTTGATGAAATGGGGACAATTTGTAAGAATGAACCAGTTAGCCAAAAAGCCTAACAAATGCATACTGCAGTTAAGAAAACCCACTTAACTTTGTTTAATACAGGGGGTATCTGGCTGGCTCAGTTAGTGGAGTGTGTGACTCTTGATCTTGGGGTTGTGAGTTCAAGCCCCATGTTGGGTATAGAGATTCCTTGAAAAAAAATCTTCATTTTGTTTAATCCAACATTTCTATAATTTACATAGTCTCCTAACACCTGATAATAACCCAAGAATCAACAAGAAACACATACACATTCTAAGAAATGTAAATGAAATATTTTAATTTCTGCATCAAGATATTACCCATGGCTGCCTCTGGGTGGTAGCCTTGTGAGTAATAGTTACACTGTTTTATTTGCTTAACTGAATTTTCTGATTTTCTTTCTTCCTTTTTTTTTCACACAAAAACAAGTACTACTTGGTTTACAAAAATGTTTTTAACTACTCAAGTAGTGTAAGAATAGTTTCACTGGGTGTAAAATGAGGGAGAAACTGTTACATTTACATATATTTAAAAATGTTTTTGGGGGCACCTGGGTGGCTCAGTCGATTAAGCCGACTGAGTTAAACTCTTGATTTCGGCTCTGGTCATGATCTGAGGGTCATTAGATCGAGCCCCACGTCTGGCTCCATCCTCAGCGTGGAGTCTGCTTGGGATTCTCTCTCCCTCTCCCTCTGCTCCTCCCCCCCTTAAATAAATAAATAAATCTTTAAAAAATGTTTTTGGGGTGCTTGGCTGGCTCAGTCAGTGAAGCATGCGACTCTTGATCTCAGGGTTTTGAGTTCAAGCCCCACATTGGGTGCAGAGATTACTTAAAAATAAAATGGTTTTATTTCTTATCATAAAAGAAATTCATATTTACTCTAGAAAACATAGATATCACCACAAACTTGTGAATTACTCCCCCCCACCAAGACATTGGAGGTTCTTAGTAAATTACACTCTTGGAGTCTCATTTCATGCCATTCTAGTAGGTATATCCTCCATACCCTCAGCACTGGCCACTCTTAAGTCACCTGCAGATGATGCTTCCTATTTGCATATTAGCCTTCAAGACAGTCCAGCATGTTGATTGTTGTGTGCTGAGTGCCCCCTTCTGGTGTCTGTATCCTGGGGCTGACCCAAACGTTGGAAAGTGTACCGGCATGGTGACTACTGGTGGTGGGGGCAGGGGGCGCTACCCGGGGTCCTACCTGCCCTTGAGGGGAAGGATTTGACAGGTTAGGAGAGAAGTCACCAGGAACTAGAATAGGCACCAAGAATCAGGGTGAATGGGGTGGGTAGGCCACCCTAGACCAGATTAATGAGGAGGCTGTGGCTTGGGACAAGTACATAGGGCTCACATCACCCTCAGCAGTGCAGACAAGGAGCTCAACACTCAGGGTGTGGGGCTGGGGTTCCCAGGATGCAGCCCAGCTTGGCTCCCCCGAACTCGGCCTGGTGGGGCTGGGTCCACGTAGCTGAGTGTCATCACCTGCATCTTGCATGGTCAAGAACAGGCACAGGTTGCAAACTGGTGCCCACATGTGTGCAGATGTGTTTTATCTGGCTCATAGAGCATTATTATTATTATTATTATATTTCATCAACTCATACTTTTTCACATTTAGACATCTCTGAAATCAGGATGCATCTTAAAATCACTGGCAACTTACAATTAAAATTGGCAGTGGTTTTCCTTACATAGTAACGTATAAAATAATGTCATGCCTCACAAACGATGACATCTTTGATTCCGTGGAATCCAAGAGTTGCCAACCTCTTTTATAATCAAGAAGTTGGTGTAAAAACCTGGATTTCTGGCTTTTCGTCGGAAATTTGATGACCTATAACACTAGACAGGCATTCCTACTGTGGCTGGTGGGTGGTGGCTGCCCCTTTGGAAGGAATAGGCTTCCAGCTTGCTCCAGTCACCACTTAGCCCACTCAGATCATATGGAAAGTCTCTGAGTGAGATCCACCTTCCCCACAGTGTAACTTCTCCCCACCCAGAGGATAAGGGATATTTGTGATCACTGATTTTCCTTCCATGTAGGTGCCCCTGGAGAGGTGGTGCCCTCTGGAGAATCAGGTGAGTGTCCGCTTAGGGGGGAGAGATTGTCAGTACGGATGATGGACAGGTCTGGGCACTGTCTTTCCCCTGGAAGAACCAGCTACTGTTGGGGTTCATGGGTGTGAGATGGGGACTCCAAATCCAGTTGGGGTCCTGGGACTCTGACCTGGGCTCAGAGGGTTAGAAAAGGGTTTCAGGCAAGAGGAAAAGGGATTGCAACAAGCAACTGATAGATGGAAAGCTCCTTTGGGGGCTGGAGAATTTGACGTGACTTCTTCAGAGGTCACCTACTTCCTCTGCTAGGGTGCAGGCACCTGTTAAGGTCCCAAGCTAGCCTGGCACTAATGTTGAGTTTCTAATTTCCAGGACTCCGAAGAAGAGGCTCTGACCCAGCAAGTGGTAAGTACACAAACTCCGAGAAGAGAGGGGGAGGGGGCCTGGATTCCGGGGTTTAGGACAGGACCAGACAGCCTGAGAGGGTGGGTCAGTCACAGCAGGGATGCCATCACCAGCCAGAGTGTCTCCATGATTCTGGAAAGGGACCTCCAAGCTCAGGAGAAAGGAAACAGAATGCAGACTCAGGCCTGTGTGGAGAGGAGGGGGGGTGAGTGGGGGCCCCAAGGACAGATAGCCCCACATTCACAGCTTTGCTCTGACTGGTCCTGTGGTGAGTGTCTTCTGACCCAGGAAGAAGAACCCAGGAGGGCCAGTCTCAGTGAAGCAGGGAAGAGAAAACCCCAGCAGCTGTCCCTCATCCAAATTCAACATTCATCTCTCTCTTGTTCCTAAGGAGAAGTGGAGGCCTCTGAGTTAAGAAGACTGAATATAAAGAAAGATGGTAAGGAAGTTGGTGCCCCCAAGCTGCTTCTGCCTGTCTGGTCCAGATTTCTATGGGCAGAAATTCTGCCAGTGGCCTAGAAAAATAACGATCATAGCCCACCTCGGTTGTGTGCCCTGTTTGCAGACTCCTCAGCTTAGAATCACCTCAAGAAGGTGGTACGGACTCCCATTGTGCAGATACGGAAACTGAGGCTCAAGGATGGAGTGCGGGCTTTCAGCGAGCGAGTGGCACAGCCTGGGCTTGAACCCTGGTCCTGTGCTGTTTCTGCTATACATGGAGTCACAGGGATGATAAGTGCCCCCTAGCCCGCTGGCCACAATGGGGAGCTGGAAGCAGGGGTAAGGAAGCCTTGAGGTTAGATTAGCTAGACTCTAGAGAAGGAGCCGTAAGAACTGGAAGGAACTCCTTCGCTCTGAGCCAGGGGTCTGTGAGGGCTTCAGGGAGGAGGTCAAGGGAGGGACAGGAGACCAGGGTGTTTGATTAAATAAATGGCAGTTGTCCTAGAAACATCTGGGGTTGTTGCAAAGGCCCACCTTCAGGGAGTGGGAGACCTGGGTGTGAGCCCCTGACTCTGTCTCTCTCCAGCTAAATGAACCAGGATTTTAGAGCTTTCTTGGGCTATGAAATGTGCCTCATTTGAATAAAACTGAGATTCCCAAAGTGCAGGGCATGACATTATACCCCAAAGCAAGAAGGTGATTCCCCTTTCCGCTCTCCTTCCTAGAGCACGAGCTCAGTTTGGAGCCCCTGAGCCTTTAATGCCACCCTGACCCTTATTCATTGCCCTTTGGACACAGACAGCAGAGCCACCTCTATTCTCAGCCCCTTGACTGAGTCGAGGGCCCTGTGTCATCTCCCCAGTGACTAGCCCAGTGCCTGGCAAAGTGCCGCAGGGCCTCGCTCACAGAGCACGCCTGAGCGCCGGCCCATGGCACAGAACCCACTCTCAGTGCCTCTCCTTGGAGAACCCTCCAAGCTTACATTTGCGCTTCTGAGCATGGGGCCCACAGAAATACGTGCGCAGAGATTCATATGTATTTGGTGCAGCATCACTAACAGCAAAAAATCAGACACTTCTAGGTTCATCAATGGGGGACCAGACAAATAAATTAGGTTAAGTTTATACCATGGAACACTATGCAGCCATCCAAAAGAACAGGGCAATCTACATATGTTCTGAGATGGAAAGACAGCCCTGATCTATGAGAGGAAGAAAGGAAATGATAGAGCTGTAGGTGTACAAATGGGTCCTGCTTTTTTTTTAAATTCAAATATAATTAACATACAGTGTTATATTAGTTTCAGGTGTACAATAGAGTGATTCGATTATTCTGTACATTTCTCAGTGCTCATCATGCTAAGTGTACTCTTAATCCCCTTCACCTGTTTCACCCCTCCCCCCACCTCCCCTCTGGTGACCATCAGTGTGTTCTATTTAAGAATCTGGTTTTTTTGTTTGTCTCCCTTTTTTCTTTGTTTGTACATTTGTATGTTTGTTTCACTCACGTATGAGTGAAGTCATATGGTGTTTGTCTTTCTCTGATGGACTTGGTTCACATAGCTTTATACCCTCTAAGTCCATCCATGTTGTTGCAAATGGCAAGATCTCATTCTTTTTATGGCTGGGTAATATTCCATAATATACACATACCACATCTTTGTTATCCATTCATCCATTGATGGACACTTGGGTTGCTTCCATAATTTGGCTGTTATAAAGTTACAGTAGACATAGGGGTGCATATATCTTTTCAAATTAGTGTTTTCTTTTTATTTGAGTAAACACCCAGTAGTGGAATTACTGGATTGTATGGTAATTCTATTTTTAATTTTTTGAGGAACCTCCATAATTGGCTTTCCACAGTGGCTACACCAATTTTCATTCCCAACAACAGTACATGAGGGTTCCTTTTTCTCTACATCCCTGCCAACAGTTGTTATTTCTTGTCTTTTTTATTTTAGCCATTCTGACAGGTGTGAGGTGATATCTCATTGTGGTTTTCATTTGCATTTCCCTGATGATGAGTGATGTTGAGCATCTTTTCATGTGTCTCTTGGCCATCTGGATGTCTTCTTGGAAAAATGTCTGTTCATGTCTTTTGTGCATTTTTAATTGGATTATTATTATTATTGGTGTTAGGTTATGTAAGTTTTTTTTATATACTTTGGATATTAACCCCTTATCAGATATATCATTTGCAAAATCTCCTCCCATACACTAGGTTGCCTTTTTGTTTTGTTGATGGTTTCCTTCACTGTGCAGAAGCTTTCCATTTTGGTGTAGTCCCACTTGTTTAATTTTGCTCTTGTTTCCCTTGCCTCAGGAGACATATCTAGAAAGAAGTTGTTACAGCCGGTGTCAAAGAAATTACTGTTTATGTTTTCTTCTAGGAATTTTGTGGTTTCCTATCTCACATTTAGGTCTTTCATCCATTCTGAATTTATTTTTGTGTAGGGTGTAAGGAAGTGGTCCAGTTTCATTCTTTTGCATGTAGCTGTCCAGTTTTCCCAACACCTTTTGTTGAAGAGACTGTCTTTTTTCCATTGGATAGTCTTGCCTCCTTTGGCGACGATTAATTGACCATAAAAGCATGGCTTTATTTCTGGACTATCTATTCTGTTCTGTTGATCTGTGTGTCTATTTTTGTGCCAGAACCATAACGTTTTGATTACTACAGCTTTGTGGTGTATCTTTATATCTGGAATTGTGATACCTTCCTGCTTTTGGTTTTTTTAAATGTGCATATATATGCCTGGAAAGGTTTTGGCAACCACCGCTTGCTTTTAAGGAGGGGGATTAGGGAGGGAAAATGGGGCATTGTGAAACTTTTAGACTTGACACATTTGCATTTTTTACTGCATTTAATATTCATTTGACAAACAAAAATATTGGGCAGCTCTGCAAGCCTGGCAGTGCTTTAGTCTCTGAGCAAAATCCCTACCCTCCATCCTACTGAGAGGGACAGAGAATAAATCTGTTTCACATTTTTTTCTTTGTTTTTTGAGAATAAGTGTGGAAATAAAAATATAACAAATTGAGGGGTGTCAGTGTTAGAAAAATAATAAAATGAGATAAAGCCTGGAAATGGGGTGCTTTTTTAGTTGGGCTGCTCAGGAGCACCTTCTCTGAATAAAGTTACATTGGAGCAGAGACAGGACTACTTTTAGTAACAAAAAAAAAAAGAGAGAGAGAGAAAGAAGCAAATAGTAATTCCCACCTCTGCCTTTACAGATGAGTTTTTCCATTTTGTCCTGCTCTGCTTTGCCATTGGGACCTTGCTGGTGTGTTATCACTATTATGCAGGTGAGGGCCGCGGGAACAGGTGGGGGGATAGGAGGGTCCAGACTTGCAGGCTGACCATTCTCTCCCTCGCTGCCCTCGCAGACTGGTTCATGTCCCTTGGGGTCGGCCTGCTCACCTTCGCCTCCCTGGAGACCGTCGGCATCTACTTTGGGCTGGGTAAGTTCCCCCCATACACACCCACACACACAGACACACACACACCCAGACTCTTTAGGGGTGGTGGCTGGACAGATGCCCACTAAGGGCCAGAAAGCCACCACCTAAACATTTTTTAAAGATTTCCTTATGCTCGTGTTTTCTTCCTAACCACTTTCAAGGTCACGGTGAGGTCATTGGCAAAACCCCATGGAAAAAATGGGCAGCTCCACAAAAATGCAACAAAAACAGTTTAAAGTGGCAAACAAACAGAATTAGCCAGAGATCGAAAACAAGGCAGTTCACGGAGTGGGGTACTGAATTCACTGAATTTCCTGGCACTGTTATTGCTGTTCAAGGTCATTGTTTTTAATAATAATAACTCCAGTACTATTATCTAAGCTCAACCTGCTGCCTGAAATTCCACCACTAATCCCTGTTTGTGTGGGTTAGGCCTTTATCCGAGCGTGGGGCGGGGGGAGTGACCCTGGGTCCCTTGCTGGGGCACAAAGCTCAAGCTCCTTTCTCTCTGTTTGTGAGCAGTGTACCGGATCCACAGCATCCTGCATGGCTTCATCCCCCTCTTTCAGAAGCTTAGGCTGATGGGTAATGTTTCCATCCTTCCTATGTTCACCATCTTCCTCCCTATCAGGGTCTTTGGTTGGAAACGGGGCTTAGCCTATAGGAAACAGCACAGGGCCTGGAGTCAGGGACCCCTGCCGATTCACCAGCTTTGGGGCTCAGGATCATCTTTCAGCCTCCGTTTCCTCCACTGGACCATGGGTGTAGTAATAACCACTGCACAAGGGTGTTATGCAAAACCACATGAGGAACGGATGCGAGAGGGCTTAAGTGTGGAACACTGTAGAAAAGTGAAGGGAATCTGGGTGTTCCTCATTCTCTCATAGAACTTTACGTTTACCCGAACACCAGTTTTGCCAGGATTTTATTTGCCTATTAGGTGTGCTTCAGTTATGTTGCACATGACCGATGAAGGAATTGAGGCCCAGAGAGGTGGAGTGACTTGCCGAGGGTCACACAGCTAGTGTGGCTGGGTTGGGCTGAAGGAGATCCTCTTTCTTTCTGACCAGCAGCTCTGTGCCTCCCATGAGGTCTCAAAACTGAGAGGCCAGGGGGCTGTGTGGCTCTGTGCTGGGGATTTCTGTCTCTTACAGCCCATTGAATTCATAAAGGGGAAATTCGTTTCAGTGGCTGTCGGTCATGGAGACCCGTGGCTTCTAGGGTGACATTATCCCAGCTGTGAGGAGTATTTAGGCACCTGGGGGGATGATGGAAATGAGGCCTGGCTGCCTTCAGAATCCCATGCCATCCTGCGGGCTTTGCTTTCCAGGATTCAGGAAGACCGACTGAGGCCAGTGCTGGGCCGGCAGCCGCGCTGGGCCCCAGTATGACCACCACTGCATCCCCTGAATGTGCAAGGGCAGAGCCCCATTCTGGGAGACACGCGGGCGGGCCAGTCTAGAGCAATAAAGAGAGCACTTTTCCTTCCGTGTCGTCTGAACGTTGGCACCAGCCTGGACCCAGGTATCATTTGGGCAGTATTGGCATGCAATCCAGCTGCCAGGATGGAAAGCAGAGGCAAGGTGCCAGGCCTATGCCCTTTGCGGTTCCTGGATCAACAGGAGGATTCTAGGATGTCACTGCTCTCAGGAGACAGTAGGAGACCCCTGGGCTCTGCAAGCTGTCATTCGTGTGGGCTCCTGATTCCTCTCAAATCCCCAGGCCATCCAGGTGGGGTGAGAGAGGAAAGAGAGCCCACTGCCCCGAGGCAGGGAGCCATCATGCCGGGCCCCTAGGGTGAACCTGATACAGGCGAGCTGCTGGGGACTAAAGCCACAGCATCAAGGCATCTTCTCTAGCCCCATTGCCTAGTGCCAGCCCCGCTGCCTTGGATTCCATTAAGATTCAAATAAACGTTTTCTTCCCTGGACTAAAGAGAGTCAGCTAAATGTTCCTTCAAGTTTCTTGAGCATGAGAACACATTTGGAGTCTCCTTTGACCCATCTAGTCAGGGAGGACACCTTGTCTATTGGATAAAGTATAAAAGGGAATAAATGTACAGCCCCTCACTTAAGGTCCAAGACTCAAATTGCACAAGTTCAGGAAGAGGGTTTTGCAAACTTTCCTATGAAAAGATGTGGGGCTGCTAGGTGCTCTAAGCCCAACAAATACCAAATGAGTGAAATAGAAGCACACATACACAAAAATCCCTTGCAAACTTGGGTTGCATAAATGGAGGTACAGAGTCTAGATTGAAGGAGGTGATAGTACACCCTACTTTACACAGCTATTCCACACCAATGCACATATTCAGTTCTAGATTAACATCTCAAGAGCAATAGTGACAAACCAGAAAACAAACAGAAGAGACCAGAGTGGGAACAGAAAGAATGACTGAAGAAACGAGAACTCTTCAATTTACAGAAGAGAAAAGTGGGGCCTTCTCTGAGCTCACAAACTCTTGGAGGATACTTGCTCAAGTGCTTATGATGGTCCAAGTACAGTCACATATGTTATCTGATTTAATTCTCACAGCAGCCTTGAGATGTGTCAGTCATCCCCATTTTGCAGATGGAGAAAGAGACTCAAAGAGCTTTAGTAACTTCTCAAGTTCCCACAGTAAAGCAAGTGGCACAGCCTCCATTTGAACCCAAGCTTATGTTCTCCTTTTGCCAAGCTGCCTTACAGAGCTTAGCCAGTCTAGTCCCCCACTCCAGGCAAAGCAGCCCCGAGACAGCGGCACTTTTTCCCAGACTTTGGGATTTCTGAGTTAGAGAGTATTTTTTTAAAAAATGAGAGGAACGGGGCACCTAGCTGGCTCAATTGGTGGAGCATGTGACTCTTGATCTTGATCTTGGGGTTGTAAGTTCAAGTCCTGTGTTAGGTGTGGAGATTACTTAAAAATAAGATATTTAAAAAATAAATAAATAAAATAGGGGCACATGAGTGGCTCAGTCGGTTAAGTGGCCAACTCTTAATTTCGACCGCTTAGGGTCCTGAGATTGAGCCCTGCGTTCGGCTCCACGTTTGAGGGAGGAGGGCGTGGAGCCTGCTTGAGATTCTCTCTCTCCCTCTCCCTCTGCCCCTCCCCCACCCCCACTTGCATGTGTGTATGCGCTCTCTCTCATAAATAAATAAATAAATAAATAAATAAATAAATAAATAAAATTAAAAAGTCAAAGGAGGGCTGCCAAGTCTTTCCCTTGCTAATTGGAGACAATAAAAATAACAAAAACCATCAACTATCAGCATCATTTTATAAAAGAAAGAATAGTTTTACACCAAAAAAGCAGGGAAATTATCAGCAGAAACAAAAGAGGGTTTTAAATGAACAAAGCTTGGGGTGCCCAGGTGGCTTAGTCGTTTAGCATCTGCCTTCGGCTCAGGTCATGATCCCAGGGCCCTGGGATGGAGCCCTGCATCGGGCTCCCTGCTCCGTGGGAAGCCTGCTTTTCCCTCTCCCGCTCCCCCTGCTTGTGTTCCCTCTCTCGCTGTGTCTCTCTCTGTCAAATAAGTAAATAAAATCTTTAAAAAAATAAATAAATGAACAAAGCTTTATGGAAATTTTACTGCGTGTCCTTTTTCCTCAAATCCACCATAGTCTGGTGAAAAAAAAAATCATTCAGAAACCACAGAACTGGAGAATTTCCAAGGACTTTTACATTCTCTTTTTCTACTCTCGTTCTAAGACACCTCTCTCAATGAAGCTTGCAGCATTATTTCAGAAGAATAGTGACCTCCAAGTGGGGAATGTTCTTGGTGGTCACGATTGCAACATTTAGCTCTGAGCCCAGCCCTGACATGGATGCCCGTGGCACGGTTCTCCGCCTTTACTCCTCTTCCTCAAGATGGTTTTGTTGTTCTGGGTCCCTTGCATTTCCACACTGAGTTTTAGGAGCAGCTCATCAACTTCACAAAGAAGCCAGTGGGAATTGTGATACGACTGCATTGCATCTGTTGATAAATTTGAAGAGTATGGTGCTTCTTGTTTTAGTGATTTATTACCTTTTTAACATTTACGTTAGAAAAAAATTTTTTGCACCAAATCCTAGCACCCAAAAGCAACCACAGTTAGATATTTGGGTGTGTTTCCTGTGAGTCTTTAGTGCATGAGGTATTTATTTTTATTTTGGGCCCTTTTCTCTTGCACATAGAATAAGGATTTTTCCATTATATAATAAGGATATTTCCATAAGCATCATTTCCCACCCACTGTGCTTTTCATGCTTTGCATAATAATCCCTCCAGATCCAGGTAATAATATCAATGGCTAACATCTGTTCAGCACTTCTTATGTGCTGGCTGTGGAGATAAGCACTCGGTGGACACCACATCATTCTTCTTCATTGAAACCCTGTGAGGTAGCAACTGTCATGATCTCCATTTGAGAGATGAGAAAACGAAGACACAGAAAGCTAGGTCAGGTATTTATCAAACAGGAATAGAACGTAAGTTTTCATGATAGAAAAACGAACTTACTGACTCAAGGACAGTGTGCTTAGCCTCATTTTGTGAGGATGCGGGGTCCTTGTGGCTGGCTCTGCCACTGCCTGGCTGGGATTTTGGCCAAGTCCTTCTCTGTCTCGGCCTCAGTGTCCTCGTCTGTATAATGGGGATCACAGTGGCCCCCACCTCACAGTGTTGTGGCAAGGACTACATAAGATAATTGCATGAAGTCTTTATTTTTAAAGAATCATCCATACAGATTGTTATTAGATGTCTAGTTTTATGTCTCACTTAGTAAAACCCTCTTATTGCTGAATTTTCTTTCACGTTTGTATTCTCTTATTTGAAAGCAATCCTTTTGTGTGTTTGTTTTTGTGTCTGCTTTTATTATTTGAGTATAGTTGATGTATAAAATCTTATACATGGTCTCTGGTACATAGTAGGCGCTCGATAAGAGCATCTTCTTGGAAGGTACTTGATCAGAGCAGGGGCACACATCTGATCTCATAAGTCAGGCAGGCCAAGTCAGCCAGAGGTAGAAAAATGGGGAGTCAGGAGAGGGGGCCAGGCAAGCTGATACCTGACTGAAGGGGTCAGCTGCTGTCCAGCATCGCTGGACAGGAAGAGCCACCCATGGCTACCAGCCAGAGCCAGCCAGGAAAATGGAACCACACCAGGGTTTTCAACAGAGAGCTCTAACACAGGGGATATGTTAAACAGGCCCAGGATCATTGAGAAGGCAAAAGGGGTCACTGAGGTATCACGGAGCCTACCTAGGGCTGGGGAACAAAGGAAAGAGTTTTGAGTTCCCAGCCCTGTGAGGAGGGGAACGGCTTGGTGGGGCTGGTGTCTCTCCTGGGGGCCCAGTGGGGCTGGTTCAAGACCAGTGATGTCAGACCTCAAATGTCTCAACAGAAGCCAGATTTTCTTTGATGTTGGCAACTAGTTTTTTTAAATTTCAAATTCTGCTGTGAAAAAATGGTTCCTCAAAAAATTAAAAGTATTATTACCATATGATCCAGCAAGGCCACTTTGGGGCATATACCCCAAAGAATTGAAAGCAGGGATTCAAAGAGATATTTGCACACCCTTGTTCATAGCAGCCTTATTCGCAATTCTAAAAGGTAGAAACAACCCAAGGGGCCATCACCAGTGGATGAATGGATAAACAAAATGTGGTCTATCCATAAATGGAATATTATTCAGCCTTAAAAAGGAAGGAAATTCTGACACGTGCTACCACATGGATGAACCTTAAGGACATTATGCTCAGTGAAATCTACCAGTCATAAAAGGACAAATATTGTATGATTCCACTTAGATGAGGTCTCTAGAGTTGTCAGATTTATAGAGACAGAAAGTAGAAAGGCCACTGCCAGGGGCTGACTGGGGGAGGGGAATGGGAAGTTCCTATTTGGTGGGTACAGTTTCAGTTGGGGAAGATGAGAAAGTTCTGGGGATGGATGGTGGGGCTGGTTGCACAGCATATAAGGGTATTCAGTGTCACTGAACTGTACACTTAAAAATGGTTAAGATGGTAAATTTTATGTTATGTGTATCTTACCACAATTTAAAAAAAAAAAATTCAAATTATCTGTGGCCAAACAAAACTGGACCCAGCCTGTAGGCCATCTGCGTTGGGGGGGCTCTCCATGGTGTAAAGCTGGAGGTGCACACAGAACGGGAGAGAAAGCCAGAGCAAGAACAAAGACACAATCATTTCTGCTCCACATTCCAATTTTGGGCAGCCTGACCACACTGTGGGGACATGAGTTCAGTCCCTGGTCTGCCTCTGGTAACCTTGGCCTCTCTGAGCCTCAGTTGTCAAAGGAGGGGCTCAGGTGGATCAGGTTGTAGGAGCCCCCCATGCCCTGAAAGAAAGACCCCCCTCCACCCACTGGAGCTCAGTGGAGCATCCATCTGCCCTAGTGTGCTATCTCCCCGGGGCCCCAGCCCCCAGCACTGCCTTTGGACCTTCTCATGGCTCTTCTGCCCAGCTAGAGCTCAAGGCCAGGGCCAGCCCAGGGTCTGGTTACACCTCAGGCGTCAAGCAGATTCCCTTCCAATGTATGGTCTAAAAATAAACCATTACATCCTAAGTCCAGGAAGGCAGGATTGCAAGTGGGGGAGGGAGGGAGAAAGCCCTTGGATCGGGATGGGCTTCAATCTCTGGCTACCCTGGATTCTGTGCAGTGGGTTTCTGTTGTAAGCACTGGGGAGAAAATGGGGGTATGAGAAGATCTGGAGGCCATATAAGCCAGCTTGCTCTGGGAAGGCAGAAGCGAAGCCCGAGCGGACGGTGGTAGCTGTTCGCTCCCTTCTTCTGACACAGCCACAGGAATCCTCTGTCTACTCCAGAGAATGTGAGCCTGGACTGGAGACAGAGTCAGGGATGCTGCCGACTGAACCTGGGAAGCTGGAGAAAGCACTTGACATTGAGCTAGGCTTTGATGGGAGAGATGTATGGAAGGGCTTTCCAGGCAGAGGGC